CATTTCATTAGCCTCTATTTTTTAGCAGAGCCATGTTTTGGTTTCAACAGCTTATTCAACAGATTACAATAATAATACTGTCAAGTATGTATTAAGGCAATGAATGATATGTGGGTACTAGAATTCTTACTGTAAAGGTGTGTTGGAAATATATGTCCTTCGAAAATGCTATCTATTACTTTGTGATAACTCCATAATGTAGTTCTAAATTGCCAAAGTTAATAATGGATTATTTCATTTCAGTTTTGTTATCCTTTCTCACATGACAGAAGACAGCGAAGATGTGCTAACGACCAAGGACTTACTTATAGCTTACAGCTACGTGTAATATGAAAAGAATGCTGCATGTTTTAAGTAAGGGAGAAATAGATAATAAGATGTTTTCCCTTCATAAAGAAGTTTACCCTCTGTTGTAACAGTTCTTTTTAATGAACTTGTTTCTATGCATGATGCAAGATTGCCTAAGAATAAGAACATTTAGCTTCAAAAACTTACCTGAAACTGTAATGACAAATAATATAAATAATCTCCAAAATTTGCTGAATATGGCTTCCCCAGGTGCTCCTTGTTTTCTGACACACTGACTCCCAGTTGTATCCTTCCTCCCTGTTCCTATCTTGCACCAGTTCCCGCTCTTCGATCCAGCAGCTGGACTCCCAAGACGCGGCTGCTGTCTGACTGTCCCTCAGATTCTGCTCCGGCAGAAACCATGCAAGCTGCCAGTGAATTGCAGAGGCTGACTCTGCAGAAGTATCGGTGCCTGAGTCGTGTAAGGAGTGTGTAGGGGACAGGGGTGATGGGAACGAAAGTGGGAGTAGAGAGCAACACCTGTGCAACGCAAGCCCTGGAGCTTGGGGGATGTGCAGTTTGGAGACTTCAGGAGGTGGGAATAAGCTCAAGTTCCTAAAGCAAGAGAGTGCTTGGGGACCCGCAACAAAACTGTCACAGCTCCCACCACCAGAGAATTCTACTTGCATCCACTGCCCGAATCCATAATTTGAAGACCAGAAACTGTCCTTTTCACTCTCTATCCTCTTCTACCATTGTTTTCCCCACTTCCTGGATTACCCACCTTTGTCTTTTGCTCTCCTCACCCCTAATGTTGTGTTCATGTGAGGAAAGAATTGTGCATGTCTGGGGGAGTTAAGACAGCCTGTCACAAGCAGCTAGAACTATTGGGAAAGAACAGACCTTGGAAGTCCCTCAGGTTATCCAGGCTAAGTCTACATCTAATTCCCTTTTCTCCCATGGAGCAATGCTAGACATGACTGCCAGCTGCCAGCTGCCAGCAGTAGGTTTGTGCCCCAGCTTTCCCACCACTTTTAGGGGTGCCCTCTCCATAGCACTGATTACCCAGACATCCAGAAGCCTGACTGCGTGGCCAGTCACCTGACCCCAGACACCCGCTGGCTAGATGCCAGATCAGTGCATCCAGACCAGTGTGGACAACCCTAGCCACCCCTTCATCAAGACTATGGGCGTGGTGACTGGAGGTATAGAGACCTATGAGGTAGGAGTCCCTGGAATTTCACTGCTGAGCTGTGTCATCTTCCCACTGATGCCACTACTTCCCACTAAAGATCCCTCAAGTCTCTGAGCTGTTCGTGCCAAGTCTTCTGACCCAGTGAAATGGATCTATAATTGCAGATTCCTCTCTGACTACCTCTCTTAACTCCCTTCAGAAGTTTGCTGACCTGTCTGACCCTGTGATCCAGGAGCAACACAATGGAGTTGACCCCCAGATTTTGAAGCACACCCCTGACGCGGATACCACGAGGTGGAACGAGTGTTCTACTTCTGATTTGTGTCACTGTCTATCGTTCCAATTCCTGCGCTTTGACTCATGGTCATTATTCTGCTAATCCTGTTTGGTGAAAAGAATTATATCTTAAGGAGTGACAGAGATGGAGAAGACGAGGTGGATGAAAATAACCGTTCCCCCAGGTAGGAAGTTTGGGGAAGAGTCCTCAATGTCTTCAATTAGAGTGCCTGCCCAACGGGCCCCTCCTTCTAGTGCTGGCAGGAGGAAATCACAAAAAGCCTTCCGATCCCTAAGGTCTCTCCTTCTCCAAGGGCCCTCATTTCCACCCTCAGGGTTTCCATGACTTATATTTATTTTCCTTTTTCCTCAGATGCATTCTGGCTCCTTCCATGACAGGCATTTATTGTTTGCCAGAGTCAGAACTGGCTGAAGTACCTGGTGACTCCGTCTGCCTCCAGCCTGCCCTTAGGCAGATGGTGAGAGGTGGGCGTGTTGTGGTGGGCGCACTGAGCAGCCTAAGGGTGACCTGGCTGGGTGTTACTACAGGCTGAGATGGCGGAGGAGGAGCGGCAGCAGGTTGTTGATAAAAGGGGCCTTTTCAGCAGACTGGGCAGGGAGAGTAGATGTAAAAAGGACCACAGGAGAAGCTGGGCCAGAAAAGATAGATGGGCTCTGAGAGGCCCGGTGGCCACCATGAGGATTCTTCTTAGCCCAAGGCACTTTGTTCTCCCCAGGACCACTTGCTGTTTTATAAACCCAGGTCTGCATTGCTGATTGCAGCTGCAGTGGATCAAGACTGGCCAGGTGTTACATGTGAGACTGCTTCTTACCTCTTTTATTCTCCATGCCCACAGAAACACTTTTTTCCCTCTATCTCTCCCAACTCTTGTCTTGCCGCTTGATCCCTTTGCTTCTTGCCCTCAGGCACAACAAGGAGAAGAGCTTCTTGATAGGCATGAATGAGGAGGATCATAAAAGGTCATCTCCATGGAGAAGAGAGTGTTCCAAAGATTCCGCCAGGGTCTCAAAGATGTTAGAGAGGTGTTTAGGGGAGCTAGGTGGCAGGAAATAAGGAAAACCAAAGAGCAGCTTAGATGGATTGACTCTATTGTTTATCAACCAATCCAGGACATTTCTGATAGTAAAAACAATCACTCTTAAATACCGCAGGAAATGGGTGTAAACTTGGACCATCCTGGGACAACCAGAACATGTAGCCACCCTAAGAAAAAGAAGAAAGGAAGAATTTCAGGAATCCACAGATGTAAATAAAACAGTAGTCAGATAATGCAAAGAAGAAATAAGTGACATCAAGTCACTACCAGGGGTATGTGGTGTGGCCCCATGGGTGTGCAGATAAGGAAAACGTTTGAGCTTGTGTAGGTGTCAGAGGTGAGAGATTGGTGTGTTCATGTTTCTGAAGTAATCCCTCTGTTCTGAGCCAAGGATTCTGGATTCTGTCTTTTCTGCTGAAGTTTCATGTCCATATTATGGTTTGCTTCTAGCTGTCTCCCCAAAGCCTCATGTTCTCATAGATGGTATCTTTAGGAGGTGACTGGATCATGGGGGACTGATACTCATCAATAATTTGCTGATGAATTTAGAGCTAAATGTGATGTTGGGAGGTGGAGTCTGGTCAGAAAGAAGGTGTAATGGTTTGGTCTGGATGTGCCCCACAAAGCCACATTCAGTCTGTGGTGGCTGAATCTGGATTGTGTGATGCTGGGATTAAGGGTGTGTGGTTACTAAAGCACTGCAGTAAGGTTTTAGCAAAGCTCTGATCCTGATAGACTGAATAAAATAAAAGGGGAGATGCTGTCAAATTTTCTCTTGTTACCTTTGTCTTGTGTGCAAAATTTCGTTTTTCCTCTGTGATACTTGTTTGCCACTTCAGCCAGCTGATGGTCAGAAACCTCTATGAACTGTAAGCTAAACAAATCCTCCCTTCCCTTCTAACTATGGATGTCAGGCATTTTTTGTCTCAGTAACAAGAAAAAAGCAACACAGGAGGGATGTCTGAGGGTGTGGCTTGGAGGGTTTATCTCTCCTCAGCTCCTCCTTTGACTCTTTCTGTTTCCTGTCTGTCACACCATGAGTAACTCTTTTCTGCTGTGTCACAGTGCCGTGCTGTCCGACTAAGGCGCCGACCTCTACAAACTGAGTCAATATCAGCCTCTCCTCTTTTAAGTTGTAAGCATCAGGTATTTTGTCCCAGCAACAAGTAAAACTAAGATACTAGGCTTTAATTGGAGGGAGGTGGGAAGGTAATGGCTCAAACACCAGAATGTGCTGCTCACGGTGAAGAGTTGAACTGATTTCACAGCCCTATGCTGGTTGGGTCTCCATATTCACTTCTGCATGGGAAACTGTCATAAACCCAGTTCTTACTGTATATTTTCATCTATACAGCTCGATTTTGGACTTGTAAAGAAAGAACTCTTGTTTTAGGTCCTACCCAAGAATTTCTATTTTTAGCAAGTAATGAGTAACATATTCTGACTGTGAAGAAGTAGGGAAGTAGGTGTTAAATTACATGCCTCATCCATAAAATTGAGATAAGATTTCCTGTTTTAGGTAGCTGTGTGAATTAAATGAAGTAATGCAGGTAAAGGAATTGGTCCACAGAAAATCTCAGTAAGTGTTTGCAGTGTCATTACTTTTGATGGAAGGCTTCCCTCTATTCAGCATGTAAGAATCTCCCATCTTGCTTTCTGAAAGGTAAACAGGGCCCCCTTTACTCATGTTGGATAGCGGTCTTCATGTCCACTGCTCTGGCAGATCCTCTCTCCTCAACTCTAATAGTCACCTGCATGGTTAGGATGACTAAGTGAGACAAGAATGCCCTCTGTATGCCCCTTCATGCTCTCTCACACAGATACCTGTGAAACTGGCTTTTCAGCTCTGTTTTCACGTTTCTCTGCTTTCTCTCATATGCTCCTGCCACAGCTGACAGAGGTTCTCTTGCCTCTTACGGTTGCAAAGTTTACACCCTCACTTTCTGTCTCAAGGACCCTCAGCTCATTAGCAAAACAGATAATGTATGCAGAACACATTGAATAATGAACTCTCTCAGTTCAGTTCACTACCTCTCTTCATTTCCCTAGATCATCCTTAATGCAACAGTCCCTCAAGTTTCTTTGCATGCATGATAATGGTAATAAACTATTTTCACCAAAAAAAAACCCCAAAACAAACAAAAAACCCACAACCCAGTATTATTCATTCACATCCAGGCTTCTCATTCTAGATATATTAGAATTCCTATGAGTGTGTAGCTCAGTGCTGTCAGGTGAATGAAGTCCAGGTGGCTGACATGCCACTCACTCTGCCGTAGGAAACTGGAGACCACAACCCATAGCTACAGTGGAGGTGGGGGGTGAGGGCATAGGATAGAGAGAAAAGTCATGGGAAATTATTGGATGAGGAAGTAACTAGGGGAATCATGGGTGCTACTGAATTATATTCTTTTATTATTAGGATCAGAAGATTTAATAGCCATGGAGGTTGAAAACTTCTCCATCTCCTTCCCAAAAAATATAAAAGGAGAGTAAAGAGAAATCCTCAGCAAAAAAGAGGCAGGAGAAAATATCTTTTATTTAAGGTCTCAGAGTCCCTAAGGTCACTCGTATGGGTTATTAAGAGAAAGAATCCCCTGGGCTTGGGTAAACCATAGGAGCGGTCTGTGGGATGGAAGTTCTACTGTCTGCCCCAGGGTGCTCAGCACCCCCCAGTCCACCAGGATCAGCTCCTGTAGCTCTCGCTCTCCTAGCCCTATTAAGAGCCAGCGCAGCTGCAGAGTCTGCTCAGGACGAAATCCTGGGGTGTGGGGGGGACCCCACAACTGAGAGGAAGAGAGGAACAATGTGAGTGGGAAAAGAGCTGGACTAGGAGTCACAATGCTGGGTCTTAGTCTTGCCTCTGACGTAGTTGTGGAATTCTGGGCAAAATCACTTGCTTTTTCTTTAGTTTTCCTAATGAGAGTATTGGATAATAGTTCCTATGACTAAGGGGTTATTGAAAGACCCTAGAGTACCAATAAGAAAGAAGAGAAAACTCTAGCCCATGAGTTCTAGAGTTTTGTGTGTACCAGACTCATTGCTGTTATGCCTATTAAAATGTAGACAGTGACATCCCAAACCCAAAGGTTCTTGATCTGTCAGATTGGCATGGCACCCTAGCAACAGCATTTTTAAAACCTGCTCCCCAGATTTTTTGACACTGAAATTTGATAACCACTGCTTTGGTCCCTGTATTCATGTACTAGCTCCATTTCCTCAATACTGATTCCCTCTGAACTTTTTGAGATCCAAATCCTCTTTTCAGTTCCTGTTTCCCCACATCTCACCCAACTCTCCCCTTGAGTTCCACTTTACACCAACCAACTTCTTTTTTATCCCCTCTAACTGCTAGTGGTCTCTCCATCCCTAACCTTCTTTGCCTTTCCCATGGCTGCCTGTAGCTCCTCAGGCCCAAGTCCTGGATCTCCTGCAAATAGTGCCAGGCGGTCCTCAAAGTCTGAGAGCTCCATCTCTGCAATCTGTGTTGCAGACCAGGCTGCTGGGATGTCCCTCAGGTGTCTGCACAAGTTGGTACAGGCTCTGAAGGGGAAAAGCAGGTCTGGGAGTCCGTGTAGGATTAAAATATGCCTAGAGAGATATCTGTAGATGGAATGACCTTCCCAAGGATAGAGAAGTGTAAGCAGCATAGGTCAAGGGATGATTACAGGGTTAGCGTGTGAAAATCTGATTTTAACTCATCAATCCTAGTCTTGTCCCATGGAACCATTTATAATTTCTACTTCATAACCCCTTAAAGATTTGAATGCATTTATTACATATTTCATAATTTTCTTTTTATCCATTCTTCTGAACACAGTGCTCTAAGCAGACTACAATTCTCTGGGGCAGAACTGGACCATTGCTTCACTCATTTCATACTCTATTAAAGTGGCCCGGGTTACATTAAGATTACTTGGCAGGCCACAGCAGTGTTGCCACCCTCTGCTGTCCTGTGCTAAGGTCATTTGAACAGAAGCCCCTACTTTAGGCTATAAATGATGTCCAGGAATCACCAGACAGGGAGTTGCCTCTGCTAGGGAATTTCCTAAGGGCAGTTCTACTCTAAATTGAGCTTAGTAAGGATCCAGTATCTCCAGCTATTATAGCATTTACGGTAAATCCAGGAGTAGTTTAGTGTCAAGTCCAGTCAGTTCTGGCCCCAAGGTGGTCAGTTCTGAATCTGGAATTGCCATCCTCTGCTGTAGTTCTGCCCAGATACAGGCCCTCAGGTGATGTTCCGATTTCAACCTACTAGACATGTGGTGGACTGAGACTAGAGCCGTGTCTTCAGATCCTGAAATCCCTGGTTCATTTACAGTGGTTGCTGGTAAGATGGTAAATACTTATTCATGTTAATTCTTCCTTGACCAGTGGCTCTGAAGTCACCTTGAATTAAACTAATAGAAGCAAATATCTTCTTGGAGTTTACACTAGGCCAGACACTGTGTTTGTTTATTTTTTCATTAATTTATGTTCTTAATTTATGTTCTTAGGTGTAGTGCTAAGAATTGATCTCAGGGCCTTGAGAATGCTAGGCAAGTATTCTATTACTAAAGTACATCCCCAGACATTTTTACCTATTGAGACACGATCTTGCTAAGTTGCTCAGGCTGGCCTCAAACTTGTGATCCTCCCGTGTTAGTCTCTTGAGTAGCTGAGATTATGTGTGTGTCACTGGGCTCAGCTTGTACTAAATACTTTGTGTGTCTTACTCATTTAATCTTCACAATATCTAGCTCTGAGATAAGTACCATTTTTATTCTCAGTCTACAGAAGGGAAAACAAGTCTTGAGAGGTTAAACAACTTTTGGCCAAGAGCCCAAGCAGGTGACAGATCTCGGACTAGAATGTAGATCTTCTGAGTCTCTAAGCTCTGGTCAGTGTAGGCCTGGCACTGTGGAAAGGCAGAAGGACAAGGGGAAGGGGAGCCAGGGGAATCATAAGGCTGATTATGCATCATACCTGTATTACTTGGTACTTGGCACATAGTAAGCACTCAAAAAATGTTATTTAGGGCTGGAGTGTAGCTCAGTGGTAGAGCCCTTGCCTAGAACTCATGAGGCCCTGGGTTCAGTCCCCAGCACGACACAAAACATGTTCAGTTACAAGCTGTAATATGGCAGCAGCAACAATGGCCTGAACTCCAGGGCCTGAACTCCAGGGAGCTAGGCTGAGGTTTGATGCTTCAGAACTGAGTAAAAAGACTGGCTTGGCTCAGTTATCATTGGTGTTTTATTTTTTTCACTTTAAAGATTGAAGTGTTGGAACCAGCATCCTCAGTGCTTTTTTCATACTGCCATTAACAGTCAACATGCTGGAAGACTGGTCTTTGAATTGCTTTCTGATGTATGCCCCCAAACATGTGGGAACTTTCATTGTCTTTGTACAGGAGAAAAGGGGACAGGGAAATCAACTCAGAAACCATTACATTAAAAGAGTTGTCTATTTCACAAAGTTGTGAAGGATTTTATGGTTCACAGTGGTGACTTCAGTGAAGGAAATGGAAGAGGAGGAGAATCTATTTGTGGAGGCCTTTCTGAAGATGAGAGTTTTGCTGTTAAACACAACAAATAATTTCTTTTGTCAGTGTCCAACAGAGGGAAAGATACAAATGGTTCACAGTTCTTCATAACATCGAAACCAGCTCCCTATTTAGATGGGCCTCATGTTGTTTTTGGACAAGTGATCTGTGGTCAGGAAAGTGTGAGAGAGATAGAAAACCAGAAAACAGACTCAGCTGGCATTGCTGTGGTATGGATACTCAGCTGTGGAGAGCTGATCCCCAAATCTAAAGCTAAAAAAGAAGAAAAGAAAAGGTATTGATCATCATCCTCTTCCTCTTCATCATCTAGTGATTCAGACAGCTCAAGTGATTCTCAATCCTCATCTGACTCTTTTTATTCTGAAAGTGATTCAAAAGAGACATGAAAAAAAAGGAAAAAGAAACAGAAAAATTCCCAGAAACACAAGAAAAGAAGAGAAAGAGAAGCAAGAAAAGTGCATCTAGTGAAAGTGATGCTGAAAATCTTGAAGCACAATTCCAGTCTACTGTCCATGCAGAAGAGATCCCTCCTATACCAGAAAATAGATTCCTCATGAGAAAAAACCCTCCTAAAGCTAGTGGCAAGGAATAGAAAAACAGAGGGTGGGGGGAATGTGCCTAACTCCTAGCCTGCTTCATACCAGAAAAAGGAAGAGAGCCAAGGCATTATTGAACTCCTTCCAGATCCAGATCAAGGGATCATTTCAGATGTACTGCGACTCTTCCACATTGGAGGCAAGAGATGCAGAGAGCTCAATGAATGACAGTAGAAAGTGGTGAAAGACAGATCAAAAGGGTTAAGAGTGAGTTGAGTGAGTGAGAGAAAATCAAAGGAGCCCAGTAAAGTAAAAGAGAGAAAAACAACTGATTACAGGTGGGTGTCTGAGAGTCCAGAGAGAAGAAACAAAAAGGAAAAGAAAGTTAAAGACCATAAATCTGACGGCAAAGAGAGAGACATCATAAGAAATTCAGAAAAAGAAGATAAATATAAAAACAAAGTGAAGAAAAGAGCTAAATATAAAAGTAGGAATAAAAGCAAAGAGAAATCAGAGTAAGGAAAGAGACTTGAAACATAACAGACATGATAAAAGGAGGTTGAAGTTGAGGAGTAAAGAAAGAGATCTTGAGAATATTAAAGAAAAAGAAAAGCAATCTGATTCTAAAGGAAAATATCAGGAAAGGAGTAGAAATAAAGAGAAGACCAAGCATATAGAATAAAAAAGTAATGAGCACGATCACGGTAAAAGTAAAGAAAAGGGCAGACGTGCATAGTCTAGGAGTAGAGAATGTGATATAACTAAAGGTAAACACAGATACAATAATAGAACAAGGGAACGAAGCAGAAGTAGGGACAGGAGCATAAAAGCATGATCCAGAAACCATGACAGAGATCACAGCAGAAGCAAGGAGTACCACAGACAGAGAGAGGAGTACAGGAGAGGAAGGTCATAAAGCCAAGAGAGAAGAGGAACACTAGGAATATCAAGAAGTAAAGATAGGAGGAAGAGGAAGCAAAGGAGGAGGAGGAGGAGGAAGAGAGATTCATGGAGCTCAGGGAGAGAAGAAAGTCAAAGCAGAAACAGGGAAAAACATAGAAACCAAGAAAGTAAGTGCTTAGAAAAGAAAATTCTGAGGGTGAGAAAAGAATGTACTCTAAAAATCGTGACCACAATAGCTCAAGTAGTAATAGTGAAAAAAAGGCCGATAGTGATCAAAGTCCATTCTCAAAAATAAAACAACACCAAGACAGTGAATTAAAGTCCTCCACATTGAAAACTAAGGAGGGTGAGAAGACCAAATCCTCAGTGGAAAACGAAGACCTTAAATCAGAAGCTCCAGAAAATGACCATGTATATGATAAAAACAAAAAATTTGATCATGAATCAAGCCCTGGAACAGATGAAGACAAAAGTGGATGAGTGAGGTCTGCAAATTTATTTCCTTTCTGTCTCAAAATTTGTTTTAGAGACTTGATGGTGAATATCCATTTTGTTGTTTTCATTGCTTTGGGGGTTATTTTATGTCTATCTTTTTGTTGTTTTTTTTAATGTGGATTTTATGGAATTAATTTTTTAATAATCTGCAACCTGAATAATTTGTACTGCTAAAGTTTTAATAAAGTTTAAATGAGAAAAACATTTTGGTGTAACACTGTGTGCTATGTTAAACTATTTTATGTAGGTATTTTTGTGTTGCAGTAATAGGCCAACAACATTCTAATTTGTTTAATTAACCATTTGGAAATAAGCATAGCTGATGTTACAAAAGCTTGTGTTTCTTGCAATTAAAGTAACTAGACACACACAAACACACACACAAAATATGTTCAATTAAACTGACTGCTCAACACAAGATACTCACTGCAGATTCCTGAGGGTCAGGTTGGCGGGCACCTGCATCTTCTTCCAGAGAAACTGTGACTATAATAGAAAGAGAAGAGCCGCTTCCCAGTGGAGACATTACCCCAAGGACCTAAGATGCCTTGGACTCAGTCCTGCCTCTCTGTAATGTGGCCCCTCAGAGGTCACTTTCCCAATGCTGATGCTGAGATTGAGAGGGAGAGAGAATCATGAGTGTTAGCGAGAAGGCACCGGATTGGGCAAGGGATGGGTAGAGGAAGTGGAAGAGACCGAGAGGAGCTCTGAGAGATGAAGTGGGCAGTTACCTGCTGCTCAGACCAGGGCAGCTCCCGGTAGCGCCTCCGGTTTGCCAGAAGAGCTGCAGTGTCCAGTTGCAGCAGCTTTAATGGGAGCAGGGGAAGCAGGCAGTCTGGCCAAGTGGTGGGCATGGGCTTCTGGCAGTGACAGGTGTGACAGTACAGTGACAGGTGAGAGGGACTGCACTCAGTCCTCGGGGAAGGGGAGACATGGGGCCAAATCTAGGTTAGGGTGGGATGGCATTTGCTGCTGCAACAGTGGACACCTAAGTCCTCTCACACTGGCCAAACTGGTGCTAGTTAGACACCCGATGAACTCGTATTTCTTGGCTTCTCTGAGCCTTGGTCTCTTCACTTGACAGTGGAGAAGATTTCTCAGGCCTTTCTGTCATTGACATTGTAGGATAGTGTAGGTCACACTGTCCTGCATCTAGAACTGAGGGGAGCTGCTAGCATCTAGGTGGGCCCAGAGCTAACCTGAACTTTCAGGGCCCCTGCAGGGGAGTGTGGGAGGCAGCATTAGCCAGATGAACCTGTCCTACATCATGGAGATCAGCTCGGTCGGGATCTCACACATTACCTGACCAGGGACACACGCAGCTGCACCAACACCTGTTGTACTCGTACTTTTAACACCATCTTTCACCTGCATGAGAATCAGTGGTGTGCGTGTGTGTTTGGGTGTGTGTAAGGCAACGGGGAGGGCTTCCCTAGCCACAAGAAAGATGCTGTCCTCCCACCCAGTGCCCATATCCCTGATGGTCTCACCCTGCCTGTTCCCTTCATACCTGAAAGGTCTGCAGTAGCGCTGCAGTCTGGCAGGCTGAGAGACGCGACAGTTCAGGGACCAGGCAGGAGCAGGACCCATCCAGAACTCACCTAGGGATGGCCTGGAGTGTCCGGGGGCTGAGGCCAGGCAGCAGAGGGTGCAAGGAGCAGAGTTCCTCCAAGGACAGCTGAGGAGCAGGAGAGACAAAAGGTGTGAAGAAGAGGGACAAAGTGGTGGGGAAGGTAACAATCACAATGCAACAGAGCAACGGTACAAGGGGAACCGAGCCTGGACAGGGAAGGTGCAAGAGCCAGGAGAACAAGGGTCAGAGGCCCCCAGGGGGATGTTGGAAAGTTGCTGCTACTCACATCGTGCCTAGGGAGGAGCCGTCCAAGCAGCAGGGCAGCCTGGGATGGGAAAGGGAACAATAGCTCCCAGTGCCCAGCAGCCAAGTCCCAAACAAGTTTCTACGGCCCACCTTCCAAAACTTCCAGCTCCCTCTCCAACACCCCCAGTGATCACCCTGACTCAGAGTCCTGCTTGATCTGAGGAAGGGGAACAAGGCAGACCTCAGCGGTACAGGGTTCATCCTCTCACCCTCATCCAGCAGAAGCAGGGGGGCTGATGGTATCCTTAAATGTGATTGTCTTGACAAGGGGCTCCAGGAAGTAGGGCTCCAAGGAGTAAGACAGGCTCACCTGAGCAGGTGTGACAGTGGTTCCCGGAAGAGCAGGAAGCATAGCTCTAAGCTGAGGCTCTGACAGCTCTTGTAAGAAGCGGAGGCCCAATTGGGGAAAGAGAGGCGCCCAGACCCGCAGCTCTGGGGGGCTTAGTACAGATCCTCCTGATGAGCGCAAAACCCCCAAAAGTTCATATGCCACCTGTAAGCAAAGAAGGCTTGGGACTGGGAAAAAAGACAACTGAACCTTAGACCTTCTCTCTAATCCCATATCTAATCCCACATCTGGATCTCCCAGGGCCTGGGCAAAGACTTGAAACCAGGGATGGAAACAGGTGAGGTTCAAGATGGCAAAGGGTATACACCAGAGAGGATAGGGCCAGAAAGGGACGGTAACAGGTGAGAATGACCATAGAGTTAGTAATGGAGGTGGCAGAGGTAGATCTGGGGCTGGCACCACTGTGCTTGAGCCTGGTTGACATAGTTGGGCCACTCACACTGTCCTCTGAAACCTTGCAGGCCTAGGCCAAGGGGCTCACCCCTCCTTCTGGGCTGAGGGTCCTGTTGGCCGCACATTCCAACAGCCCCCGTTCTATTGGCCCCATTGGATCACTCAAGGGCACCAGGCTTTGTAGCTCCTCAGGGCTCAGGAAACAAGCAAGAGACCCAAGCCTGAGGAGGGCATGAAGCTGGCCTTCACATGGCCACTGAGGCGAGTGTTAAGATAGGAATTATGTGGGTACCTGGAGTAGGGATTCCGATACCTAAACTACAAGACGGAAGCACTATGGGTGTCTCTCCTGAAGTTCTTCACCACCTGGGGCACTGCCTCCTTCTCGTCCCTTCCTTAGGACACCAATCCCCGTGTCTCTTATCTTTCCCACTCTGGCTTTGATCATGGATCCCATTACCACTCACCTGCGGACCTGCTCCTCACCATCCTCAACACTCTGGTTTACCAGGCTTCGAAGCACATGCCGGGCATGCCCTGGCCCAAGACCTGCCGCTGGCCAGCTATCCTCCAGGGCCTGTATCTGAGATGGGAGGTCACCTTGAGCTGCAGTCTGGGACACTCGTAGGGAGGGGCCCACTAGGAGTCACGCCACTAGCAGACAGGCGAAGCAGGTGATTCTCATACCTGGTGCGGACTGAGCTGCTGATCATGATAGAAGCAGAGAGGTGCAGACACACTGACATTGGCAAACAGGGGTGGTGGGAAGTGCAGTAGGTCAGAGATGGCCAAGCATGGGATGGGAGCTGAGAGGTCTGTGAATAAAGAAGTGGGACATTAATGGGAAGGAGATCAAGAGGTGGGAAGATGGGGAGGTAAGAGAAGGAACAGGATTGAAAAAAGAGAATGAAAATATCATGTACACATACCAACTCCACACAAGGAATGCAAACATTATGCACTGCAGACATGTACTAATAAAATATAAATAAATCTGTACATATGTATTCATCAGTGTTTACTAGAGAAACAGATTTAATGCGCAATATGTAAATATATAAGGGTTTACATGGTAGGTTTACAATGACCACCCACAGAGTCAGGTGTGAAAGAATGCAAAGGGACTGTCTGTATGCTAGCGATGTAAAGAATCCAGTCCAAGGCTGAAGGCCTACAGCTCACTGTAGATTCTTGTGTAAGTCTATAACTGGAAGGTGAAGGATCTGTGCTAGAAGGCTGAAGAGGCAGCATTGAAACCCAGGAGACAACGTTCAAGGTGAAGGTGAAACCTGGAGTTCCTCTGAAGACACAGAAGTGAGCTGTCCTTTTGCATTTTCTTTTTATTCTGTTCAGGCCATCGCTTATACAGGGTGGATCTTCCTTCAGTAAATCCCTTCAGCAACAACAGAACTATGCTGATTTAATTTAGTTGGGTGTTTCTTACTCAAGTTGACACCATCAATTAACTATCACAACATACATACATACATACGAACTTACATACCCGGATTATGGGGAGCTAATAGGAAATAACATCTCTGAATGTAAGAATGCAAAATCAAGACTTGTGCAAGAAACAAGCCCTACATTGGAGGAAGTGAGGGAAGGAGACAGGACAGGGATTTAAGTCTGCCTGGCATGGCCCAGCCCAGGTAAAGGAGAAGGAACTAAGACAGAAGAGCCTTGGACCATAGTGTTCCCTGCAAGGTGCACTCGATGGACTTTACCCTCTTCTTCAACCCGGTTACTCAAAGTGCTCTCTAGTCCCTTCCTTTGGTCTATGACAACTACATGGACTAAGATGGTTTCAGAACAACTTGTTTTATCTATTTCCCTCTCCCCCAAGGATTTGAACTCTACATAGGATACATAATTCCTGGGAAAATATTAGCCATTATTATGTGAAATATAATATACATGACAAATAACTTTATTACAGACAATTTAAAAGACAGTTTGGTGTTCTCTACAAGATAAGTGTCCTGGATCGAGTGAGAAACTTGTATGTCTCATGGGATATAACCACCCCAAAGCTGCCTCAACCTTTTAGGTGCTACAGTATTCTAAGTATTGTGTGGCCTCTTCACCCAATCTCATCTCTGATTGCCAATCTGACCTTCCTATTGGCTATCTCAGAACTTTCAACTGCCTGCCTTGTGACATCACCCAACCACCCACCTATCACTGGCTAGTAGAATGTTAGGGTTTCCATGGAGATGTCTGAAGTGAATGCTGTTATCATAGTCAGTGGGCAGTGAACAGTGCTCTTCCTATTGGACATGTGATCACTTTGGCTTCAGCCACTGATATCCTCCAGTACCCTGTCTGCATTCTAGGCATCTGCAATTTCTGTAGACCTTTCTCTGACCATGTCTGGTAAGGAAAGATGAGTTCAAATGTCTTTGGCATTACACATTCCCTCCCCTCACAAATCAACTTCCCAGTGGAGAACAAATACCTTGGGAGACTAAATACATGCCCCAACCTTCTGAGAGCTGGAGCTATATAAGGTCTTGAACTGGAATTCTAAAGACCTACTTTCACTTATGGACTGAACCTTTAGTAGGGACATGACTTTGGATAGATGGTTTACTCTGGTAAAAAAACTATTTCTTCATCTATTCCCTGAGGTTGAATGATTGCTCATACTCCCTTCCTTTTCTCTTTTAACACTGACTTTTAAAGGCTGTAGGAACAGAGATGCCAATCAGAAACATCTTAAGTATGTTTGTTTCAACTGAAATAGAAAAATAACCTAGCAGGGGTATAAAACAGCAACTATATGCTAAGATATTAAACCACTGACAGTCTTCTGACACCAGTGTTTCCACTTCCACTGTGTGCCATTTGAAGTGGACTATTCACATGCTACATAGATTTCTGTCCGAACTGGGTGACAACTTACAGGAAGAGGCCAAGGCCAAAGGACTGGACTATACCCAGGCAGACATTTGAGGAGCAGGGCATTTGGGAGGGTTCCCACAAGGCAGAGGCCAATAGAAACTGCCTGGATTGGAGGGAAAGGGAGAAGAAAATATACAAAATATACAAAATGGGGGATGAGGAAATAACAAAGAGGAAAGTGTGGAGGGCATGGAGACTCCAGAAAAGAAAAGATAGCTTGGGATGGAGTCTTGACGATTACTCGAGACATCAAGTGACATCAAGTAACAGAAATAACACAGTGAAACCTCAGACAAGGGAAAAATGGAGCGGGTTTGGCAGATGCTTTCTTTAATGGTCTAAGGAGGAAACTACCATAGGGTTTCACTTGGGAAAAGCACCTTGTCGAATGCTTTGCATTCTTCGGTAGTGTTCTTCCTACAGCTGCTCTCACACAGATACTACTTGATAGTTCTTCTTTTTCTTTCTTTCCTTTTGAACCAGGATCTCTCTATGTAGTTCAGGGTGTTCTTGAACTCACTATGTAGCTCACCCTGGCCTCAAACTTGCAGAGATTTTCCTGCCTCAGCCTCGTAAAATTCTGGGGACTACGGGCAGGTGCCATCACACCCAGCAATAATTTTTGAATGTGAACATTTTGGATGTTTGACACATGATTCTTCTTGTATATATGCTAAAAACAACCATCCCAAGGGCCAGGGGAACAATTTTCAGCATTCTATTTCACACTGACTTTTAATCTTAACCAATTTTTAAAATATGATGCCCCTTACTCCTTATGCAGCAGAAGAACCACTAACTGCCTGGGAATACTCAGTAAGTTTCAGGTGAAAGCAGGCATCTTTATGACACTTTCCTTCATAAAACAGAGTGCATATTTGATATCAACATCTCCATTAACACACATACTCATGAGCCCTTTTTTGTTTTGTTTTGTTTTTTTTGTACCGAGGATCGAACTCAGGACCTTGCACTTGCAAGGCAGGCAGCTGAACCACTGAGTTAAATTCCCAGCACATGAACCATTTGACACCTGAGAATCGAAAGAAATCCTTGCCCACAAATAAAGACATCATGTTTCACATCCCTCACTTCACATTTATCTAAAACAACTTTGTGACCTTCTATGAGATTTCCTACCTTTAAAAGATTTTTTTAGTCCGTGTGCTCCCAGCTGTATGGGAGAACAAAGCAGGAGGATAAGTCGAAGTCTAGCTTAGATAAATCAGTGAGACCCTATCTAAACACTAAAAAAGCACAAAAAAGAAAATAAAGAAAAAAGAGCTGGGGATGTAGGATTCTTTAGATAATATTGCAAAAAACAGACAAACAAATTAAAAAGAAAAGAAGGGACAAAAACAATAGCTATAGCACTGAGAAACATATAGGAAAATTTTTTAAAAATTAAAAATACCAAGCAACAGTGAAAAAACCAAAATGCCATTTTCATCGTGTTCTAGCCGTGCTGGCTTTGATAGGCTTTAGGAGTGACATACATTCCCAAATATTTATGATGACTACTTACTAGATTGAAAGGAAGAATGGGAACACTCAGTCATTTTCCAGGGTTTTTCCCCACCTTGTTGTGTGATGACATAAAGTGTAAAATCTGTCTCGAGGGATGAATGTCTATTTCTCAGTGAGTGATTTTCAACACAAAGGCAAGTGAACACGATAACCAATACAATTGCTTTGCAATCTGAGCTGTGCAGTTGTTTTTTTAAGTTTGCTTTGTTTTCATTTTTGTTTCTCTTTGAAATAGGGTCTCACTGGGTTGTTCAGTCTGATTTCTGAATTCTGAGCTAATGGAGCACTCCTGCCTCAGCCTCTTGAGTGCTGGAACTGAATACACACACCACCGTACCCACGTTCAATACCAGGTTTTATTGCAATATATAAATTATGACTACCAAAATGTTCACATTTACTGCTGTTTTAGGCCTGTTACACACTTTTCCCAGTCATCTTTTCTCTGCCTACATGTATTTGGGAAAATGACATTCAAAATCACCATCCAGTGTGACCTATTTTTGGCTTATTGAGTTCCCTACAATAGAGTAAATCATGTTCACTTTCCTAGAGTTGCACCTGTACAGCACTTCCTTTCTTTATAAATTCACTATGCTTTCATGTTAGTAAATGAACTATTTCTTCATACTTAATTTCAGTTTTCATTATTGTCCATATGTGCTTTTTTCATCATAGTCTGTGATGCTATACGTTCTTCATTTTACTTTCTACACTTCCAGCACCTCTTCTATCTCCATATGCACAAATCGCATATAATATGTCTCCTTCATGCATGGGTGAACTGTACTTATTTGGATGACCACTTCATAGATGAGTAACTTGCAGATAAGAAAGTTTAGAGAAAGTTTTTCTCCCCCCAAATCACTGTTTGAGAACCTAACCATCCCTCAGTAGTCATGGAGACTTAGAAGCTAAGCTTGAAGAAAGGAAAGAATGACCCTTGCAATTTACTGATCACTCTGGCTTATAAAAGACACCCAGGAGATAGCGAGGGTCCTGCACAGCAAAATAAGTCACTGAGGATAACAATGGCAAGAGCCATACTGTCTTCTAGCAAGTGAGTAACAAAAATGCAGAGGTGAAAAGTTCCTTTCCTGCTGGTTTTTGGCCTGTGCCCAGCACACAAAGTCCTGAGAGGGGAGTCAGGCTCTGTAACCAGTTTGCAATAGTACACCATGGGAGGGCTTGAACAAGTCAGTGGGCCTCTCCCATTTCAGTCCTCCACTTGTAACTGATAAGGTTACAGTTCTCTAAGGACCTTCTAGGCCTGAAAGGCTTCAAATTCACTACTCAGGGTCCTGAGTTAGTGTGGAGGCAGGCTGAAGGGCAGCACAGGATAGGGAGAAGGCTCTTCAGGAGCATGCAGCATGTATGAACTATGAATAAGATCTCCTTGAGCCTTTGAGGACACCCCTGGGAGGTAGACAGTTCATGGGAAGAGTTCCAAACACCACTCTAGCACTTACAGGCCACCTGAAAGTCTTTGATTGCTGGCATCTCCTAAATACTGGCATCACAAGCTCCTTGATCACAAGAAACTTAGGATAGATAATATATCTGCTCAAATAGAGTAAGAATTTGTAAATCTCACCCGTTGTTTTGCTTTTGGACTTTTCCCTGGTAAGCCAAGCTACTCCCTCAAAAGCAAGGGCCTGCCATTCCTCCAGTGTGGGCTCTGGCGCTCAGTTCAGCCTGGCTCCTGCCTTCAGCCTCTGCCACCTCCTCCCAGCCACTCACTGCTAAAGCCTGTCTATACCAACACTCTAGCATAAGTACATTTTGGGGGCTACTGGCTGGAGCCAGATGTCCATGTCAGTACCTTCATATCCAGGTAGTTGGCAGTGGGATCTCAGGGAAAGCTTTGAAAATAGCATCAGCCCCTTAAGGGCTTCACATTGACCGTCACTGACCAGAGCACAGCAATTGCTTCCACAGCTGTGGCAGAGCATCCCAATGCCACTATCCGGACATCTCCATCATCATTGATCAGCCTGGTTCAGGGGACACCACCACTACATATTCAAATCAAGGACACAGCTACTACTACAGTGAGGGTGGGATGGGGCCTCTGCTTTCTGAAGAGTTTGGCTCATGCATGCAACCCTATGGCTGTGTATCCTACAGAGGGCCTGTGCCCATTAACCAGAAGTACTGATGGTGCTGAAGGAGTTTCAGCTCACAAACGCCATAACACAGCTCCACCTCTGCCATCTACTGCTCAGGGGTTGCTCAAGCAAACAGGGCAACAGGTGTCCAAGGTGGGTACCAAGAGCAAGAAAGGGAAGGGAATAAAGTTAGCACTATGAAGGAGGGTTGAATATTCACTTGGGTACTGATAAGTGCACAGATAGGCAGAATTTCAGCCCTGAGACTTTACCAACTGAGTGGGGCTCAGGTCACCCCACCTCCAAATTCTATAAGTAGGAAATGCATGACACCATAATGGTCATCCATGCTGCACTGAAGAGACCTTCAGGAGCGACTGAAAAAAAGGCCACACTTCAGAGCTCTTGTGGATGAGTCCCTCTCCCCCCCCGCCAAGAGCAATTTCCTTCACTCTTCTATTGCTGTTTTCTGTTTGGAAGACACTTCAAAATGTATGGTAGTCAGGGTAGCTTAATTTTTCTTCATTTTCACCAAGGTTTATGACCATGTGTTTCAGAAATCGTGTCCACAGCACATGGCTCAATACTTTTTCTTGATTATATTTTACATGAGGAGGACCTCCCCTTTCTCCTAGCCCATGTAAAGAAGCATTCTTGAATCAGCTAGAGAATGGACCTGATAGGAGGATTCTAAGCTTGACAAACTCTATGTGAGTATGCATGTATGGGTGCTTGCACAACCATGCATGTGTGTGTGTGTGTGTGTGTGTGTGTGTGTGTGTAGAAAGTGTGTTGTGCATGGGATGGAGCGCAGGGCCTTGTGTATAGTATGCAGTGCTTTACTACTGTGCCCAAACCATGTCCTATCCTAAAAATCATTTTTGCATTTCTTCTGACCAAGAACAACCCTAGGACCTAAAGGTAAGTAGTGAAACAAAGACATGAGGTGATTAGCAGGAAGAAGCATAATGTTACCTCCTAGACACTAAAGTAAGGTCCTGTCCTTGGCCCTTAAGCAGAGGTGATGGAAAGGCCTTGCTGACTATTCCCAGGATGCTGAGGTCTGTGCTTCTGTGAAGTGGGAGCAACTCACTTAGCAGGGACTGACATTTCCATGCTTCCTTTGCAGTGAGTCAAACTTCCCCAGAGACAGAGGCATCCCTGAGATGGCAAGCCCTGAGCCAGACAGGATATGTGCAGTAACCTCTGGAGTTTCCCCAGCTGTGCACTAACTACCAAATGTGCTCCTTTGCTTTAAAGGAGTTCACCAGCTGAGCTTGGAGACATTTCAAAGAGAGCTGCAGGTCACAGCTCCACTCAACTCTTGGCTGTAGATACAACCCAGGAGCAACCAGAGAAGGTGAACTAGGAGCAAGGGCTCAGAGCCTCTGGATGCCCACAAAATCTTAATAGGTGCACAAGACACACCTCTACTCTCCCCAGTACTCCCTGAACCTCCTGAGTTGCTGGCTTCTGTTAAGCCTCCAAGCCAAGAAAAGCCTGGCTCTACACATGCCCTCTGGATAAAGTGCCACCAGAGTCTCTAGAACCAAGGGGGTTTTGAAAAGGGGATTCAGCATAGCCCAGAATGGGCAGAGGTTGCAGTCCCTGTGGAGGACATTTGCCTTCCCCAGATATTCCATTCCTTCAATAATTTTGACCAGGCCAACCATTCCACAGCCATTGAAGCCCAAGACACCGGAGTCTTCAAAGTGAATCAGGTGCATGAGAACTCAGCTATCACCAAGGGCCTTTCACCCAAGGGGAGGAAGAACAAACATAAAGCTTCCAGGCGAATCAGTGGCGCTCCTGAGGCTAAAATGTGGCTGAAGGCCCCTGTGAGCCTGTTAGGGGGAGAGGATCTCATTTGCAGTGCAGCAGACAGTGACGGGGCTCCCATGGTCACAGCTTAGCTGAGGAACAGCAAACCCCTGAATGTAGCATTTAGCAGGAGCAGCCAAACTAAGGGCTGTGGGCAAGTTAGGGCCAAGAGGTCCAGAGTCAACAAAGGCAAGAAAACATTAGAGAGGAACCAGTCAGGGCCTAAAGTCAAAGAAGAAGAAAAGCCAACTATTTGCAATGTGAAGCACAAGAGAAACCAACCAGCCCTTGGCCAAGAGGCTCTTAAAATGCCTCGCACCTGCCTAGGCATGCACATGCTACAGTCTGTGCAGGTTTTCCACCCATTAGGCAGGAAGGCAGATAAGACAGCTGAGCCCTTTTCCTCCTGGGCACTGGGAAAATCAAGAATTACCCAAAACTCCAAGACATTGCCATCAGCCAAGCCATGGCAAGGGCTCCCACATGAAAAGAAGAGGCCTGAGAGTACCCGGGAACACTTCCAGAGCCTGCACAGCACTGCTGAAACAAAGGCTCCATCTGCCTCCCTGTGTGAGCTGCTACCACCTGGGCAGATGAAGTTAATAGCTTTGCCTTTTCCCAGTCCAGAAAAACCTCAAGCAAGAGCTGTTTCTCAAAGGCCCCAGCCTCCCAACTCACAGCAACACACTACAGCTCACCCTGTCCATCCTACTGCTACCAACACAGCTCAGCCATCCCAAACAGTGGCTGGCAGCTTGTCTCTGATGGGTCCTGTCAAACCAGCTCAGCTCCTCAAAAATGCCAGGCCACCACCCTGGACCACTTCAAAACAGCCTGGACTTCCTCAGTCTGCAGTGTCTAAGCCTGCACTCTGGGCAACATCAGCTTTTGCCTCTCTCCGAAGAGAGTCCCTTGCCACCGCTGTGATCAGGCACAAGGCCCTGCCTCAGCCACACAATCCATTTCTCCTCCAAAACTTCAGCTGCCAGACAATTCTGGAGGGAGCCCAATGTTCCCCATGGCAGAGGAACAGAGAGCAGAGTGGGAAGCCATGAAGAGGCAGGCTCAGCAAAAGTGGGAGCTGGCAGCCAAGTACACCTTCTTAGGGAAGCTGCAGTTTTTTTCATGCAGAGGGAAGGAGACAGGGCGGGGGGGGGGGTTTGCTCAATACTGTGGGTGGACAAGATGAGAGACAGCAGCACTGCCTGGCCATGGCTCCCAACTGATTCTCCGCATAGATATGTGGAGAGATAAGTAGAAATTTGTTTATTCAGATGCATTTTTGAAGTTTAACATATCAACATACTATTTATTAGAGTGTGGCAAAAGCAGTACCTAGTAAATAAAGCTCCCTTCTGAATTCCAAGATGCTGTTCACTGTGAATTTCTTTGGTTCAGCTGGGGATAAAAGTCTGCATTTTAATGAAGGATGGGAGAACAGGGCCACACACATTGAGAGCTGAGCAATGAGAAAGAAATTTCAAGTCTTACAAGTTCAAAAAGGAAAGCTCACATGAGCTTAGAAGAAGGACTAAGGAACAATTAAATTATAGGAGGGCGTGAAAATACTAGGACTCAGACAAGGTGCAAGAAGGCACAAGATGAGTGTGGGCTGACCAGGGGAAAGGCACAACATCTTCATGGAGCATGGCCTCTCCTCTCATGAGAGACCAGGCAGGCATTTCACAAACTACGGTTCAGAGCACATCTCCAACACACTTGGCTCACCTGAGATTATAGTCAGGAAATGTGACTCCAAAACATGGAGAAGCTACCAGGGGTCTGGTCAGGCTTCACAGTGATCCTGGGAGCAGTGGATATGATGATGCCTGTCACCATATGGTGAGTGTCAGCAGCATGAGACCAACCCAGGAAGTGGCCTGGAATAGGAATCACTACCTCTGCAACACCCATGTGTCAGGGCAGCAGAGGTACACAGGGCCAGTTAACTTTCAAACACAGGAGGCTGGTTTGACTGTACTCCTTTACCAGAGCCAGGGCTGGTGTTCCACTGCATGTACAGGTAGTAATGCCTCAGTCTTTACCACATGGCCCTCTAGTCCTTCCCAAGTGGGAGAATGTTAGCAGGCAGTCAACTGTCTTGCAGGGCATGGTATCCAGAAGTCACAGGTAGGTGAGATCAAATTGTAAAGGGACTGAACATGAAGTCCACATACCTCCCACATCCTTCCCAGAACCAGGCATGAGCCATCTTCTGGGAACCTGGCCATCAGAAACAGTGCAATAGAAGAACCCACGTCCAGGGTCCATTTGAACTTCTAGAGAGAAGTAGATGCAGTGACACCCTCAGCCAGCTGCAAAACCCAAGCACCAACCTTCTGGAGGTATTCTCCAAATACCCTGAGACATGGGGAGGGGATGAGATGGGGCGTAGGGCTGGTGAGATGGCAGTGAGGGGAAGCAAAGAAATGGAGTGAAATGAACAGGGACAAGGACAGAGGACCCACAGCAGGGGAAAATTAGTAATTTACATTTTAAGAAAGAAGTATTCAGATAGAATTCATGTAGCAAAATCCGCTACTTAGAAGTACGATCCCACTATGGGACATATCGTGCACATCCCAAGGGTAGCCCACATAACCGTTAGCAGTCCCAGCTGCTAATCTCTCCACATTTGCTTATCTGTACCTTGCCCAAACCTGGAGTTATACAACATGTGACATTTCACATATGGCTTTTTTGCATAGCAAACTTTCCAATCTTGAACCAAATAGTAGGGTGGGTAAGTCTTTCATAACTTCTTATGAGTGCATTCTATCATGTGGTATGGGCAAAACACTATTCTTTCTCTACCCAACCATTAAGTGGTAGACATTTGGATGCTTTCCTCTAGTAAGCGAATGGTTTCCTGGGAACTTATCTGTATCCTATGGCACCAGGTTATTCACCACCTTAAGAGATAGAGATAGAGGCTGTCAAGAACTTGTCCATGTTAAAAGCTAGAGCTTGGGGACCTGGGCCTTGAACCTCAACTTTCAGATTTCCAAAGTCATAGATTCATGTGACAGAATAATCACAAAGATACAAAAAAAGTATTCAACAGAAAATGCACACTTTACACCCCCCACATTCTCAGCTATCCTGTTCTTCGCTCTCCTGGATACATCAACATTGGTCACTTGGTCCATCCTTCCAGAGAAATTATGTACTTCTACTGCTACATGCTCCTGTCACAGTGGATAGGATGCTCTGTCTCACTCACTTGAAACGGCACTTCCCTTATTAGTATGTTAAATCCCTATGTGCGTTTACATTAGACTTTCCAGAATTTTCCAGGCCTTGGGGCCTTGCTTATTTGCCGTTTCTCTGGAATCCTTTTCATTAACTTCTAGAGCCATCCCTGAGAGACCCATCTAGGCATCCCTGAAAGCTGACCACCCAGAAAAGGATCCAGCCTGTAGATTTCCTCACACAGAGCCAGATCCACAGTTCCCACTGGTTAAGACTCAAGCCTGACTCACTTTATCATAATCACAATAGAAGGTAGTAAGAAGAGCAATGACCAGAGGATCAAAAGCAAAAGCAGTGTGCATAAAGTTGGGCTGGCTACAGATGCCCTTCCCTTATGCTGGGACACACAGAATCACTCACCACAAGGGCTTTTTCATAGGCCTTTGAATTTCCTGAAGAAATTTTTCTTGCTATGTTAGTTTCCAATGCTTCAATGAGAATGACCATGAAAAGAAAAACAAGAAATCTGTCTTCTAAGATTGGCATTCTTAAAAACATGATGGAGGGGCAGGAGGAAAATATATTTCAATTTTTTTTCCAGGGTAGAGAATTCATGTGTCTTTTTTTGCACAGGCATTTTCTGGACTATGTTCTACCTAAACAGCACTGAACTGTCTCTTATGGGTCTACAAAGCAAGGCCAGATTGTGTTGACGTCTTTCTCACAGAAAATCAAAAACCTCCTGAGTATCTTTGGTTTACCACCTTCACTTCCACTATGCCCCAGGTGTGATCCTCCTTTCCTAAATATACTCCTCTGTTTTGCCTGGCTAATTGACAATATGAGAGCCCTAGAATCTCTGCTAGCTCACTGCATCCTGAAGAGGAGGCTACAGTAACTGTCACTCTGAATTCACTTACCCAATCAGAAATTAAGTATCCTCAATTCTTATCATGTGTGGACAAACCAGATGTCAGCACGTCTGTGCTGAGGAAGCAGCCAGAGGCAGCTAATCATGGGCAAAAGAACTGTAACTGAAGTGCACAAGAGGGAACATTTGCCATCAGTTCTCTCTTCCACCTTTCTAGTGATTTGTGCTCATGGCTATAAATCTGGTTGTCACAGCATCAATGCCCTACTGAGAAGGGGATCAAGAAATCAAGGAATGGACAAGGGAGGAAAGGGAGAGGGGCTGAAAACAGGAGTTTAGATGTGTTATGTATATGTACGAAATCCACACAAGAATATAAACATTATGTACTTCAAACTCACCATAATAAATGGTAGGTAGGTAGATCCATGGATATAAATAAATAAATTAATGAATGGAGACCCCAGTTTTGGGCGGCAGAAAGGAAATAACATCTCCAAGAACTCAAATGCAAGGTCAAACCTTATCCAAAAAGCGTGTCTTAAAGGGTGTTGGGAGGAAGGAGAGCAAAAGAGAGATGTGAATTCACTTGGCCTCACCCAGCCCAGCTGAAGAAGAAGGACATAAGAGAGAGGAGCCTTGGACCAAAGCATTCCCTACAACTAACACTCAGTAGACTTCACCATCCTCTTCAAATAGGTTACTCAAAAAGCTCTCAAGTCCCTTCCTTTGGTTCTTGAAAGCACAGTAAGTTCACTAATCACATGGACCATGATGCTTTCAGAAAAATTGTTGCTGCTGTACTAGAGGGCTTTTTCCCTCCTTCTCAAATAAATTAACCCTACATATAATGCATAATTGTGGACAGAATATTAATCCTTATTATGTGAACTATAACATGTGCAATATGAATAAATTTATTTTACAGTCAGTTTAAAAGACACACTGAGTGCTTTTCACAACATGCAAGCCTGGGAGCAAGCGGGGAACTCAAATCTGGCCCATGGGATGTTGTGACTCCAGAGCTCACTTAGCCTTTTAAACACTGTTCTAAGTCTCCTGCAGCTTCTTAACTCAACTCCATCTTCTGGTTGGGAATCTAACTGTCCTAGAAGCTCTCTCAGACCTTTTGTCTGCCTGATTTGTAACATCCTCCAGCTCCAAACATATCATTACCTAGTAACTACCTAGTAGCACTACCTGGTCTCTATCAAGTTGTCTTAAAGGAAGTTAGATCTATCTCATGTGCACTTTATATGGACACATTTTCTCTTTGGCTTCAGCCACCCAAACACCCTCTAGTACTCTCTTTTCATCTTTTGTGTGCATGAAATTGCTCTTTTCCCTTTTCTGACAATTCAGGTAAGGAAAGATAATTGAAAAGGTCTGGGATTACATGTACCCTCCCCTCTCAAAGAAATTTCGCAATGGAGACCAAACACTTTGGGAGACTAGAGGAAGGTCTTGAACTGGAAATTTGGAGGTCTACTTTTACTTGTGGCCTGAACCTTTGGTAGGAATGTGACTGTGATTGACAATTTACTGTCCTGTGAAGTGTTTCCTCATCTGCTCTCTGAGGTTGACCAACTACTTGTGCTCTGTTCCCTCTCTTATGTCACTGAATCTTAAGGGCCGTGCAAACAGAAAATCAAATCAGAGTTGTCTTGGGTGTGTTTGTTTCAAGAGAGAATGAATGAAGCACTAGGTAGGCTAGGAAACTGCTTCTAGGCCAAAATGCCTGACACCCAAAGTTGGCTTGCAGTTGGTAGAGGTTTCAGCCCATAATCAGCTGGTTTCAAGGCAGGGTCCAGCGGGGGAGCAGTTCATGGTGGCAGAAGAAGCAAAAGAAACAAGAGACCTTAATAGCATCTTTCTGCTCCTTTTATCCCATCCAGACTATGAGGATTAGGGCAGGGCCAAACCAATCACTGGGGTATAGTGATTTAGTAATCACACATCCTTAATCCCAGTATTACACATTCCAGATTCAGCTACCTCTGAAAAAGAAAGCCCTACCCACATGAGACTTTGGGAGGACATCTAAACACAAGCCATAATACAGGCACATTTTATAACTTTTTGGTGAATATGGAAAATTATTGGTTTTTCCAGTAAATTATTCACATAA